ACGTGGTTGCAGAGCTACCGGGATTTAAAAATAGTTACGCAAAAGAGAGCGTGCCCGCTCCGACCGGCTTTAAAGGGTTAAGCAGCAGACGATGAACACGTGGTTTCTATTTATGATACCAGTGCTTTCTATAGTTTTGAAGATGTCTTCTGCATATTTAATTTCTCCGCTCTTCCATTTTTCATTTTTTCGTGTTGTTTTGATTACTGTCATTGTCATGACTTGCTGTAGAATTTAGTAAACCACACCCAAGTTCAATAGCAGGTGCTCTACACATCATACAGGCAAAACTTGATTAGGGATTTAGAGCAGTTGTGAATAGAGGCAGGCACACACAGGTTTGAAGGAATATTTAGTAATATTGTGTTATAATTAACACTTTTTGTAGTCATTATTTAGAAAATGCAATGTGAAACATTTCATTTGAGTTCATATCTAGCAGGAGTGACCATGTTACAACAGATACTGTAGCGGGAACTACTCTGGCAGGTGACTAATGTTGCACATCTTATAAACTTTTGATTTTTCTGGTTAAACCAGTTGGTTAACTGTGACGCATATAGGTGAGATTCTCGTTGGCGCAGACTGCCATAACGATCTTTGTCAATGTAATAAAAAAAAATCGTATCTAGTATCATGACAACTTGCTGCTAGTGATAGTAATATCAGCTCCTGGGGGTTGAATTGGATTTTCTTAGCCTAAACATACAGTAGCTGAGGCTTTTCTAGCAAGTATTACACAAGTGAGGTGAAGATTTGTCTCATCTCATCGCCATGTCAGTAGAGCAAATGTCAAAGACTGCTCCAGGCAGTTTGTGTCCATGTGTTGGAGTTTCATTTAATAAGCACAATGTTAACATTATTTGCTAGGATTCATTAAATTATTACATTATATAAAGCATGTTTGTCTTTTCAGAAGCTGCTATATTATAGTGTTAAAATTTTTTTTAAAAAAAAAAGTACTTTTATATTTAAGTTCTGTCGATATTTACAAAGAGAGCACAATGACAAGATTGCATGTGGGCACTATGTGTTTTACTGCAAATTGCTTGAATAGTTTATAGGGAAAAATAAATTTTTCTTAATTTTTGCACTTGATATTGAAATGAACAGACCGTGCCCATGTTTAGAAAACAGAATAACTTTTATAAATTATCTGTAAAAACTACTATTATTTTAAAATTATATTTAGGGAATCCTGCATCTTGGCATATCCTGGTAGCTAGTTTTTATTCTTTTAAAATGTTCTCTGCAGCACTGATAAGAGTAATGCCGTGTCATTGGTGCACTGTCTGTTTCGTTTGTGTGAAATCTGTTCGGTATTGAGTAAAGCGAGGAAAAATCAAGCAGTGCCCTCTGTAACTGTGGCTTCTTTAAAGGTTATAAGATTTCCCGTATTCAGTTATCAAATCAGTCCGATCAAAAAAGCCACAGTTAAGCTGCAAAGCAGCAGTTGTTGTATGGAGGTTAGATATCACTGCAGCTTATGAATGGAGCACTTGTCCTTTTTCATCCCTTTAGCCAAAGTTCTGTTTGATTGAAAGTAGCATGGAGCTTTGAAAAGACATGACACACATTCACCTTGATATGTGTTTGTATTTGTAGTCCTTTTTCTCTCCCGCAAACTCACACTCTAAATGTCTTGCTGGTCCACCCTCTCTGTGTCGGTCCCACATTCCTGCTGAGGCCCACACATTTTGGCAGGGAATAAAGGGCTGTGGTCACTCTAATTGTGAGGCTTTGGACGCTAGTTTTTGGATTTAATCATTGCTGGCCACCATGACGATACCATACACCACACAATTAGTATGTGTACATGTTGTGGTTGACTATATCTGTTAAGGATATACTTCATAGTAACATGGTTCATAAATGTTCTCACTTTATTGCCACTGTGCAACTGTGCTAGCAAAAAAACGTGAAATGAATTTTTCTTTATGTCACTTTAGAGAAATCCAAGAGTCCTGATTTATTGAACAATGTTTTGTGATTATTGCTACCCATAAAGTGAATTGCTCATGAACACAACTATGTGCATGAGCACATTGCACAAGTGCTACACCTTAAGAAATGAAGATAAAGTGTTTTATTGCCATTGCTGCAGCTGGGTTGATGAGTGTAAAATGAGTCTTCCCACAGTTCATGCTGTTTGTACAACCAGAGTTTCAACAAAGTTAGAAATCCATGTAAAACCATAATGCAACAATTTGTATATTTCGCAAACCCATTTTTTCAAATTCACAATAGAACACTGAAAATTTATCAGATGTTTCAAGTAAGACATTTTACAATTTAATGAAAAACACTGCCCTATTTTGTGTTTGATGGGATCAGCATGTCTCAAAAAAGTTGGGATGGGAGCAACACAGCTGGAGGAACATTTTACAACTAATTAGGTTAATTGGCAACAGATTGGTAACATAATTGGATATAAAATGATGGGCGTGTTAGAGAGGCACAGTTTCAGAAGTAAAGATGAGCAGAAGTTTATCACATTTTCAGAATAACGTTCTTTAATATAAAATTGTGAAGACTTTGAACATCTCATCAAGTGCAGTGCATGATATAATCGTACAAACTGGAGAAATCTCTGTGCGCAAGGGTGAAAATCAGTATTGGATGCCTGCGATCTTCAGGCCCTCAGGTGGCACTGGAGTAAAAACAGGCATGATTGTCTCGTGGAAATCACTGCATGGTTTCAGGAACACTTTCAAGAAACTATTGCCTGGGAGCACAGTTCACCATGCCAACAACAAATGCAGATTAAAGCTCGGTCCCGCAGAGAGGAAGCCACATGTGAGCATGATACCCAGAAACCACTGGTTCTCTGGGACAAAGCTCATTTAAAAAGGACTGAAGCAAAGTTTAAAACTGTTCTGTGGTCGAAATTTAAAGACAGACTACATCAGAACTTTTTCAGATTTAGGGTTGTAATCATTTACTTTACTAATTTAGTTCTTAAAGTTGATGTGATGAAGAAAAGAGACAGAAGAAAACTCTAAAAACTGCCTTAACTTGGATTTTCTGATGATATAATTTTCAGTTTTGGTTTGACTCCTTATCCTTTGCTTCTGTTTGTTTTAACCTTGCTAGCTGTCCAAGCTTGTCTTATCTGAATGTGTTTTAATGGCATAAAAGTTGACAATATTAACTCCTTTTTTATGTGTCTATGTTCTCATTGTTTCTCAATCCCAGGGCCTAAAAAGTGGTTAGTTATGTCGCAGATACACATCCAGGTTGAGACCGACCCCGCACCCACAGGGACACACGTGGCCTTGTAAGCTGTGGCGGCGACCGTATTATCAAGGAAATTCCTGAGTCCTCCAGGGTCACCTATCTGCTGGCTTCTCTATCTGCTGGTTTGTACAGCTGTACAAGCTTCTGTTTCCACAACACTCATACACAGAGCACGCTCAGCACTGATGTGGCGTCTTAGTCACTCAAATTCACTCAATTCATCAGCAGAAGCTGAAGCTATCATTTCCTACAGCAAAGGCCTGTGCCTATGGTGGAGCATAAAAATGAGGTGTGGGCTTAATGCAACACATGCTTTAAAATAGAATTGATCTTTGTGATTAAAGATTAATGACGACATAATTGATGCAATATAAATATTATGTAAACAAGCGGGTTATTGTGGCTAAAGCACAATCTATCTGTCTTGATCCGGGCTTGGTAATACTGTTTATCTAAAGCAGCTGAGTTGGTAAACATGAAAATGCCATAACTTCAAATAATTTATGACGTGAATTCTTTTATGACCCCAGCAAATTTCATTTCCTCTTTCTGCTCTTTCGGTTACTTCGTGACTTACTGAATCACGAATTACATTGGAAGGTTCCAAAGAATCTCAGAGGTTTTACAGGAATTTGTTTGACTTCTATTGCAGATTTTCTCTATAGGATTTCAGGAATTTGTGAGCAGTAGTTGTTGTAATAATTCCTGTAGATGTCTTGTTTTGATCTTTGAAGAGTGCAAAATGCAAAGATACTTAGTGGAAAAACAGAACATCCGAATAGTTGTCCGTCAAATCCACTTATCCTTACAGCTCTAACAGAGGTGTAACCACTGTCAGAAAAAAAACCCCTAAAACCAAACCGAACCAGAAACCAGCTTCAGCATTTATCTACATTCTGTCGTCATCAGTAAAGTTTTTCTTCTTTTCCTAGCCGCAGGGAGACAAAAGGACAAAGCAGGACACCGCAGGCAGACGTGATGGCCACTGAAAGAACCCAGACACAGGCTGGGCCCGCGGTACTGGCAAAGTCTGCTTCGCCTCTGTCCGCTGGGAGCAGACCCACCAGAGAAGCCAAACATGCAAATAATGGCCAGGAAGTGTGGCGAGACGCTGACCAAATGTGTCAATCAAAACAGTCGAGCGGCCCTTCTCTCCCCTTATGTAGGAAGTCATCGTGTGACAGTGGGGAAGGCGCCGTTTTGGACAAAAAATACGAATGCCCCAATTACAGATCAGAAGTCATAAGCGCTAAAGAGAAACCTTATCCAGAGCTCTCCACTGGCAAGAAACTTGAAGAAATGATTCCAGTACTTAGGAAAGGTTCAGAGGAATCTCTGAGCCAGCTGGATACCACTGGAGACAGCGTGGATGCAGGCACTAACAGAACTGGCAGCACCCACTGCTCCTGTACCCAGTCTAGCCCTTATACCAATGCGAACACCTACTGTTGCCACAGCTCTAGGTCCAGTCCAAGCCTTGGCTCCAGCCCTGTTCACAGTCCTCGCCTCAGCTGCAGGCCCTCTGGCCCCAAATACAGACACATCCGCCGCGGCAGCCTCCCTGTGTCTATGCTGGCTTTCCAAAAGGTAATTAAGCAAATGGTGCTAACCCTGTTTTATAGCATTTTCAAGATAAGCAAAGCAACCCTCTTTGTCCAATAAATGTAAAGCTTTACTCCATGTAATAGCTCACTCAAGACACTGCTGTGTTTTGTTCTCTTGTTTTATGCTTCTAGACATCGCCCTACCTCTCATCCCAGGGCAGTTCCTCAAGCGAACCGAGCTCTTTGACATCATCTCCATCTAGTTCTCCTCTTCTCGTCCACCGCAAGCGTCACCAAAACGGCCACATCCATCTGCACTGCGTCAAAGATGGGTACTCAAGTTTAGAGAGGCTCAACAAATGCTCTTTGGAGAAACTTTTCCTTCGAAGGTCTTCTCTTGAAACCATGTCGTCGACCCCTGTTCACAATGAAAGGTTACCTACAGAAGAGACGAGGGACTGCAGCCAGGATCACAGCAGTGATGAGGGAGAAGTAGAAGCACATTCGGATAATGTGGATAACGATTTTATTCGGAATCGTAAAGAGCGCTCAACTGTCCTGGTGAGGCGGTTCTGCAAGAATAATCAGAAGGTATGTGTTTAAACTGATTAACATCATCATTTTTAATCAATTAATTAATCAGCTTTATTTTAAGGCTTTAGAAGTAATCTCAACTGCCTCTCTTTTCCATAAGGTGACCAAGTCGGTGTGTACTGGCACCAGAGCGATTGTCAGGACACTGCCATCGGGACTCATCTCAGAAGATGTCTGGGCCGTGGTTGTTCACTACAGATGTTGGACTCCCAGTAAGGAGGATACATGGCTAACCGTAAAGCGGGGCATGGGAGAAGACTTCAGAAGATGCAAAGAGATGCTGCGCTTTGCTGGACTTAAACTACATCAGGTAAGAGAGTGAATACATGCAGATAATGGAAGAAGGCACATGCTGTTAAAGCTGTTCGAGGACAACAGTGCTCTGTATTTATCCTGTCATGGGTTGTTTATCTTTCACACCCACGCTACAGTTAAAATGCTTCCATTAAGACATAACTGTAGCAGTGCACCCTAAAGGGATTTCAGGCACAGCTTTGCTACCAGCCGTTCTTTTAAATAATTGGTCTAAGCCTAGGGTTATTAAGATTTCTTTTTTTACGCGTTCAGCAAATGTGCTGTTCAGTCTCCAGTAGCAGAGCGTGATATATTAGTGTCCAATTTATTGTTGTCACATAGGCAAGCTAATTAACTGGACCATGAAGGCCACCCAAAACCCCGGGCAGCTTTTGCTTTTGTCTGTTCTTGTCTTGTTCTCTGCACTGCTGCCTTTTCGCACCGCTGGGACTGATCAGCTCCTCACTCGCACAGAGCAGAGACCACATGGCTCTATCTTATTCAAGCCCTCACATTTTTCCAAAAGTATAAACCTACATATAAATCTGCAGAAATCTATTCCATCATTGATCTACTGGACCAATGCTGGTGCATCTATGCTTTGTGGGTTTATGTGTGGTTTGCTTTTCAAACTCAGCTACCGTGGGGAATAAAACAAAAAACCCAAAATCTTAACACTTAATAGCTGTCGTGGCACAAGAGTGTTTATGATTGATTGTTTCATCGGAGGAAAAATTGTTCTTGGTTTCTTGATGTTTTTTTTCTGTTTGTGAAATTGCTGCCTGCAAAATATGAAAGATGAAAGATTTTTTCAAGGAATATGTAAATAGACTAACAGAGACATACTCTGAAATACACGGCAAAGCGCGCACACACTGGCTCTTTTGTTCGGGGTAGGCCCCTACTGCGGAAAAATGATTTATTCTCTGTTGGTTCTGCTCCCCTTATTACTGACAGACTGAATGACTGAGCCTTCTGTGTGTGTGTGTGTGTGTGTGTGTGTGTGTGTGTGTGTGTGCGCGCGCGCACCCGAGTGAGTTTAAATGGACTGAGCAGGATTGGCATCTGCGTTAAAGTTACAGGCATGGAAATTGGAGAGAGGGCGAGCGAGCAAGACGTGGTGAGACAGAAAGTGGTGGAAGATGAAGGAAAGGAGACTGAGCCCAACAGAGAGAGAGAAAGCGAAAGAGCGATCCAGGACACACTACTGTTTTTTTGTTTTTTAAAAAAAAAAATCAAGTTTCCAAGCAAGAGAGTGTTTTACACACACAAAAACCTCTCGCAGGAGCTGTTCAACTTTAGCAACCTTTGCAGGGAAAACGGCGAAAACTAGCTGGCAGTAGCTTCAGTAGATAAATAAGCCATGCTTTCCAGCCTTAGAGGTGCACATATTTTGTAGGGACTGAGAATCAGCAGCATTACGCATGCTTTCCTGTTGTTTTTTGTTATCTTATTCCTCCTTTTCCTGTAAAAGCTTGAAACACATGGAGACTGAACGATACATTGCAACCACTAAATTGCACAAGACTGAATGGCCAGAATTTCAGCAGTGTCACTTCAGATATTATGATTCCTAGTTAAGTGAAAAAGAAAGGTTTTAGGGGCTGGGGTTTAGTTTGCATCTAATGAATGTGATAACCAGAAGTCTCGCCACCATTTAGATCACTTAATTCAAATCAGATCCTGAAGCTGCAGGCGTGCCTGTGCAGGAACATGAGTGTGTATCTGCATGTGACTTTGATTCTTAATTTTTTTTTTACGTGTTACACTTTTACGATAGAATTTTGAAATAGGCATTGTTATACGTGTGTGCCTAATTTTGATTTTTTTTTCCTTCCTTTTTTTCCCCTCAACAGAGCCAAATACTGTCTAAAGTTTCTCACGTGTGGCGGGCGCTTATGCACTGATGCCATTAAAACACACATAGTTCCACTCATGTGCGTGCTGCAGCGTGGTTTCTGACTTTTGCCAAAGAGTTTTTATGAATCCTTTGTGGTTGCAGAATTATGGCTTAGGTAGTCCAGGGAGAGCTGCTTTAATAATGAGCCTATTGAAAACTGGGGAGCTGCCAGCAGTTCCCTTGTCAAAACACCAGCTGAGTCCCTCCAGTGAATGGTCAAGAGAGAAACTCTGACAACACCAAGCGCCGAGGAATAAGTTGTCATCAAGATCATAAAAGAATTAGAGAAGGAACGCATCCATTTACCAAATTATACAGCGAGACATAGATGCAAAGATCCCCAAATCATGAATTTTCTGCTTTCTTACTGGCTGATACACAGCAGATAGTCACAACAGGCTTTTTATTATACAACAGCGTGTTTCTTTCAGGTAGCCGGTCATAATGTTACGGGCATTTTAAGTGATTGCATAATTTTTAACAAGATTCACACAAATTTGTTGACGCAAACCCTCACACATTTACGGTCCGCTATGGTGCCAAGCCCTGTGCACACAAACACACCCCTAAGAAAATCAGACTTTATAGCGTGCGGGCCTCCTGCATGTGGTGTTCCTCCTGACTCTGCAGTAATCATGTTGAGGAGTTTTCTGGAGGTATCCTGTGGGTTCGTGTGTTTATTGCCTCAGCTAATCAAGCAAGCCAAAGAACACAGGATTATGTGAAGGAGGGACATTGGCAGGGCAGCGAAAGAGAGTAAAGGAGAGTTGGGTAGGAGAGAAAGAGAAGGAGAAGATGAAACTTTAACAGTGGAAAAAGAGGAAAATTTACTATGGAAGAAAAGTGAGAAACCTCGTGGTGGTGGGAAGAGGAAGTCAAAACATCTATTAACCCAAGACAAAGTTGTGAACCTGAATGTTTTTATGTGCTGTAATTAATGAGCCTAAGCAAACGTATGCATTGTCATGACTATAAACTGTGACCTAAACTGCTTGCAGTACAAGCTGTACATAGATGTTATAAAATATTTAAGATCTTAAACTATTATTTCTCTGATCAGTTTGCTTTTCTGACATCTGCATTTGTGCACTTGCCTAAATACAGCTCTCAAAACCAAACTGTGCTCTTTAGGATCATACTGCAGCTACTATGTCTAGTGGTTTTGCACCTTTATTTTTCAAAAAAGGTTCCTCCGCATCCCAATTTCTTTATAAAATGCAAACTATTTAACTATAATTGGCAATCTTCCTGTTGAACTTTGTTCATGCTCTCCATGATTCAGTCTTTGGAAATGAAATTGCCAAAAGTATCAGGGAAGTGTAACATAAGAGGAAAGGGAAGTGTCTCAATATGTTATGCGAGTGAAAGCACTCATACACATACCTGGCATGAGGATCAAATGGTCTCTGAAGGAAACATTTTATGTTTGCCTTTGTGGAGTCTACCAATTAGAGCCCTGCTGAGTCCCTTTATTAAATTGCAATGATGTCAGGAAAAGTGGTAAGTGACCATTAAAAACCTTTAACATGAGCTGTATGGGCTAAGTGGTTATAGGGCTGGGAGATGGATGCTTGTAAATATATCTTCTACCCATTACTGAGGATGCAAGTAGTTTTTAGGAGCATGAATACATTGTTCTCTCTGGGGATGTTCTGTGCTTTCCTATTTCCTCAGTGTGTCTTGTCATAAGTAGATCTATAGCCAATATGTTTCCATTTCCAGGAATATCTGTGGTGGGAAAATAGATTTAAAATGCCTTGTGCTGTCTATCAAAAACTGCTGTCGCTGATGCTTGCTGAACGAGGCATCTTTAAATTCAGTACCATGGATCAGCTGCTAACAGGAGGCTGTCATTAAAATGTAATCAGCTCACTTATGTAATCATGATAATGTGACGTGTTGTTAGAGTCACGTTCCCTTTTTATGCTGCATCTCTAAAAAGTAATATTTTTTTTTCATGATTTTGGTTTGGAGAACAACCTTTAACACTGTAGTGTGTGCTCAACATCTCTCCCAACATCAGCTGGATTAAAGTCCACCCCTTGACCCCCTTCTAGCTGCACCTCTGTGCGACCCCATGTGGATAAGCATTTTAATGGAAAAACATGTAACTCTATGAGAATATCAATGAGCCTCACTTTATGGTTTGCTGAAGAACAAGTCAGGGCTGCAAATCATAGGTGCAACATTATACAGAAGTCCATAATGAGCTCAAAGACTTCTTCAAAGTGAATTAAGTAGCTTCACCTCACTGTTAGCAGCACACACACTGGAGTCTTACATGTGGTGACAGAATTTTGTCAAGGAAGCAGATTATTTTCAAGTGTTTACTGTTGACGCAGCCAACAGAAGGCTTTGAAATGCTCTAGCCTATGAAAATAACTAATGTTTAGAACATTTTAAGCATTAGTTATTTACAGCAGATTAAAGTTTAGATTTCAAACTTTCTTTTTCATGGTTATTTCCTTTTCTTTGGATTCCACATTATTACCTGGGGTCAGTCATCCAAAGCGACAGACAGTGCACAAGAGCGATAATGAAGAGAGAGCAGGCAGGGTGGAATGGGTGGAGAAGAGTGTCCGGGGTGATTTGTGACATAAGGATAGTGGCAAGAGTGAAAGAGAAGGCTGAGACCTCCTATGATGTATGGTTTGAACACAGTGGCTCTGACAAAAAGACAGAAGGCCGAGCTGTAGATGCCTAAATCTTCATTGGGAGCGACCAGGGTTAAAAATTAGTATTTTAGAGACAGTTCAGATTTAGTGCAAAGTTAGAGAGGCAAGGGTGATGGTTTGGACGTGTGCAGAGGAGGGGTAGTGAATATATTGCACAAAAGATGTTGAAGATAGAGCTGCCACACAGACCACAGAGAAGATTCATGGATATGCAGTGAAGGAGGAACTGGAGAGGGTTGGTGTGACTGAGGAGGATGTTAGAGAGAGTGGGGGAGATGGAGACAGATAATCTGCTGTAGCAATCTCTTAAGGGAGCAGCTGAAAGAAAAGGAAGAATTGATTTTTAGAAACTATTACTCTTCAAACATCTTGAGTGTCTCAACAAGTGAACTGACTCATAGATCTACTCTTTAGCTCCTTCATTATTCTGCTTTTAACATA